TTGGCATTACCCTCAGCTCAAAGCACTTGCCTTCCTCCCCTATCTCTGTCGCTGCTTTAAAGCCACGACTTTTTGATGATTCTTTCGTTATGGCTTCATTTTCCTACTTGCAGCAAAACTTTTGCCCCCACCAAGCAAATCTTCAACAAATTTAAATCAGACAATACATATGTATGTACAGATATGTACATATGTACGTACATAAGTACATATATGTACATCTAGAGTGCATTCTCCAAGAATCTTTCTCTCGTTTCTCTCTCTCTCTCTCTTTTTGTCGTGATTTTTTTTACAAACAAAAACTGCGCTTATTACGCCCCAAACGGCAACAACGGCAACAACTGCAATAAGCAAAAGCATTAGAAGAAGCTTCTTTATGGAAGAGACACACAGAGAGACTGAGAGACCGAGAGAAAGGGCAGTGGCAGAGGGGGAGCAGCGTGGCTTGGTCGCAGAGGGGGTTGAGGCGGGCTTCGAGAGGGATAGCGGGGCGGGTGCCAGAGTGTAATGGCTGGAGCTAAAGAGGGGTTTGGGTCGGCAGAAGTGGGTATATCTGCCTTTTAAGCTCCTCTCAAACACACAGCTGCCAAGTGGCTGCCGTTCGGGAGAGACTAAAAAGCTGAGCACCGCCGAATCAGCAACAGAAACAGATACTGAATGAGGCAGAGAGCAGAGTTTGAGGGGGGAACAGAGAGTGCAGAAAAGAGGAGAGTGCAGAGGAGATACCGAGGGAGCAATAGATGGACAGAGGAGTGGAGAGAGCTGTGCGGGAATGATACGAGGCCGAAGGCTATGGTTATGCTTATATAGGTACATATTATAGTAGAGATCCGATAAGAGGAACAACGTCTAGAGAAATAAACACAGCGAGCAGCTTAAAGGTGAGAGAATATGCCACAAAATATCGCACATAAAGACAGGAAATAGGATAAATAAATCAATATTTAATATATAACCGAATACCATTGAGAACGAAAAATAGGACTACAGAATTATTAATTTATTAAAAACAATAAACTGATATTAAATACGTTCCATTAAAGTCTGAATCCTCGGTATCCGAGAGTTAAAAATCATCGGTTGGTCCTTTGGTTGCTCTTACTGTGGGGAGCCAGCGAACTTCTGGTGCTTTTTCGAGCCCAAAACTGATTCAAAAATTTAAATCCCTCATCTACTGGTTTCTGCCAGCTGGTATTCACTGTAACTGCTGCTGCTGTGACTGCATTTCGCCTCATTTCGTTTCATTTGCGCTTTGCCACTGTCCTCACGGCTGCCCCGCTCTTTGCTTGTGGCACCATTTCTGGGCTCTGGGGCCTGCCTCAGCCTCTGTTCAGCCTTCTGCCGCCTGCCTTGTCCTATGTGCTCTGTCAGTTCTGTTCCTTTGACACAGAGTGTGTGGCAGAGTGTGTTCGGATCTGTTCTGTTCTGTGTCTCGGGGCTCCTCAATTTCCAGTTTTTCGCACATTTCGCCCATCATACGTGTGTGTGTGTGTGAAGGGAGGAGCACACAGGGGCAGTACGGGAGTTTATTTGGCAACTTGCGAGCGCAACTCAGAGACAGAGACAGAGCCAGAGACAGCAACGAGAACACAGAGAACTACAGAACCGAGAGACGACTCCGAAAAAGCCGAGAACAAACCCGACAGCGACACCAACAAAACGACGACAACGGCCGCATGTCGCATGCGAGAGCCCGAGCTGCGTTTTGCAGCGCACATCCCAACCCATCCCCCCACCACATGCCCTGAGCACAGCCACTCGAGTGAGAGTCTCTTCGGGGTTCTGCGTGGCCTGCCTGCCTGTCGCTGGTTTCTGTGCGCCTGCTATGAAACGACTCAAACTGAGAGAGAGATAAAAGCATTCGGTGGATTCGGTGCAAGATGATGCTTCTGTGTTGATAAGACCCCTACCATATCGCCTATATGTTTGCCATGTGTTGGTGCAAATTGAGCACAATTTCCATACGCAATGCGCACACACGCGTGCACACAGTTACGAAAAGTATCTCATGGATAGACCCATAGCCTCATGGATGCCATGCCACCTACTTACGTATATACTTTGCTGGTTAGGGCAGCGGTGAGGGGATTGGGATACTCTCATTCTTCGTAGGCCGTTGGAACCGAAAACGAAACCAAAAACCGAAGCTGTAGCTATGGGACTAAGACTCAAGCTGCAAAAATGTATCTGAGAGATACTTCTTAGAGTGAATTATGAAGTTGTCTTCGACTTGGTCCGTTACGTGGGTGGTGCAGAGCCACTGCTCCCACTCACTCTCTGTCTCTATCTCTCTCACTCGCCCCTCGTTTGTGGCTCTTTAAGCGTCGATTTATTATTATACTTAAAGACAGAATCGGGTTCCAGTTGGTATTCCAGGTTCCAGCCAGCCAATCCTCCATTTCCCTGACATTGTAATGCAATCTGTGAAAAAAGAGTTTTCATCATTGGGCCGGCGTAGAGGCACCGTTAGCGCTGGCTGGCATCATAAAATATAAGAAAAAACCAAAACATCGGCGACTTTGAAATGCCTTTCCTTCCCTCAGACACCTCCTCTGGCTGCTCTTTTTGTCATAGCTGTAAAAATGCAACTGACACACAAAAGCCACGAGACGCACAGACCCAAGATCATCAACAGAGAGCGGCAGAGATGGCATGGAGATGGATGCTGTAGATGCAGATGTATCTGTGAGATGGCTATGGAAATGTTGCTGCATGCTGACGCTGGTTGGTCATATGCAAATGCATTCTTCTGTCCAGTCATCTGCCAGTCTGTCCAGTCCCTCCATTCCAATGGTCTCTCGCGTACGACGATGCCATTGACTTGCTGCTGACTTCGTCGTAAGGTTTCAATCTCTCTCCATAAAAGTTCTACGATTGACATTATTTATCACTCACTTTGGTATGGTCTTTGATTTTGAATCTCTTGCCTATAAAAGCTTGGAAAGTTCTGGCAAATGGATTGAAAATCTAATAAAAAAGTGTAGACCACAAAGCAATTTCAGTTGTAGCATGTCTAATGCATTCTGTAGATAATTTTATGATTTTTAGATAGCGATTCCGAAAAAGCTTTAACCTCCGTTCAGGTACGTACGTTCTTCCTTCTTCTTGGCAGCAATGAGCGAAGAATTAGCTTATTTACAGACTTATGCGTATGATCCAATGCACTTTGTGTGGCTTTTGGATTTTTAATTCCAATTGCAATCTTTTTAAACTAATTTCCATCCCCAAGAAGCATCAAAAACATCCTAACCCTTTATTTATCGGACAGTTACTTTCCTCCAGTGCACTTTGGACATCAAACTGCTCCAGAGACTTGATTCCTCCGCGATTTTTGAGCTCAAGTTTTAGGATCATCCAAGGTTCAGCTTTGACTTTCACTTTGTTTGGATCGCCCCACACTCCAGCTGCCGCTGCCGCTGCTGCTGCTGCTGCTGTATCTGCACTATACTCTCCATTGCCCCGAAATTACATCTAATTATGCAGCATCTTAGCATCAGAGATTGTGGGCCACAAGCTCCTGCAACTGCAATTTGGTTGCAGGCTGTAGCTGCAGCTTAAGCCAAGACTTGGGCTAATGCTGCTGTTGATCTCTCGTCATGTGGGTTTTTCCTTCTGGCCCAAAGGCAAAACCTCTAATAACTTTGTCTGCCAGCTTTGCTGGGCCGTGCACTTTGTGGCCATTACGCAAAATTATGCGAGCAAACTTTCATTTTTAGTCTCTTGGGAGGGAAAAAGTTGATTTGCACAGATACAGATACTGTGTTCGTATCTGTGGCCATTTGTTTGTGTATCTTGCAAGGTCAAGCAGCAGCAGCAGCAGCAGCAAGAAGTTGTGTGTACATGTATATTTCTAGAGCAAAGAATGCCCTGCCCGCTGACAGTATTCCCGCGTTTCAACTTAATTAAAAGGCAAACACAGCAAAAGGCGAACCAAAAGGCAGAAAGCAAAACGAAACGAAACGAAACGCAACGACAAAAAATAATACTGATAAAAGAGGTTTTATCAGTGCAGACATTAACCACACGATAATTATACAAAACAGAACCTAGAACCACAGCCAGACACAGAAACAGAAACTCAGATACTTGCACAGGCCTCCACAGAGAAACAGGCCACCAAAGCATAAGATACAGATACAAATTCTGGTGTCATACGAGGTGATAAGCAGAGAGGGCGGCCACGTGCACAACAGTTGGAGATACGAACACAAAGAAATAGATACAACAACCAGGCGGAAGATACAATTATGAAGGCGATAGATACGAATTGGAAGCTCCATAGATACAGGTACAAGAGCACACACAAGTGCTCGTGGAATGTGGAGCACACACAGAAGACTATCTGCGAGATACGATATGTATCTGGTGTACAGTTCAAGGAAATAACCCAAACACATACAGATACGGATACTCTCGCTCTGGCATTCGTATCTTTAACCAAATTGCACTGCTCCTCAAAACAAAATAAATGAACATGAAAAGCCTGCTTTAAGCTTTTAAATTTGCTCGTTTTATTCAGCAAACGATCCACAAAACGATCCCCCAAAGCGATGGTTTATCTTGTGGTTTGGCTTTGGGTTTCTGCTTATCAATTTCCAGGCAAGTTTTTTATATTTTATCTCACGACAGTTTCGCCATCGGAATATACATAAATACTTTTGCTGGGCAATAATTTGCATAATTATAATACGTTTTATGGTTTTTTGAAATATTTTTACAACGTTTTTATGGCGGTTATAAAAAGGAAGGTGAAGCGTGGCTGCAGAACGAAGATTTAGTTACGCTTTTAGGCGGGGGGGAGATTCCTCTCTTTCCTTCCTTCTAAAGTATTAAAACTCAAAGTTTATCCTTTAATAGGCTTCTTCCCTCCACAAGTGTATCTGAGAAAGGGCGTTGTGTCCTCATTCTGATGACTGCTGGCACTGTCTCTCTCTCTCTCTCTCTCTATCTCTCTGGCTCCATTTCTCTCATTCCAAGGATCCCCTTCTCTGCTGATCCCATATCATCCCTGAAGTTCCCTCTACCTTTTCCTCTCTTCGCTGCTACTCCCCAGAATCTCCTTCTACTGTGTTCTTACTGCCGTTGCTTCTGTCACCAGACAGCCAGCGCGTTCAAATGCACTTTACCCCCCAACCACTCAAAGGCCCACAAAGAACGGCCACCAATCGATGTGTGTGGCCCTGTGGACAGGGTCTGGAACTGGCAAACCGGCAAACTGGCAACTGGGATCTGGACTTTGTGGGGAATGGGCATATGGGTATATCTGTTCTCTCTCTGTTGTTGGCGGCGCCTCTGGAATGTTGTTAGTTATAAAATGGCCACAAAATCATAACGCGGGCGTGGGCCGCTGCCACTGCCACTGCGACTGCGACTCTCTTTCTCTTTACCCTTCACCCCGCTCTCTATCTCTCTGGTTACCCCGAACGAACCTGATATTAACGATGACGAGTTGTTGCCTCTGTGTCCAAGAGAAACCTCTGTCCCTCAGTCCCTCTGTGACGCTGTCGCTGCGGTTCTCCAGCATCCAACGCATATTTGTGATGTCTCGTCTGGAGGTTCTTTTTTTTGTTTAATGGAACCACCAATGAATGCTTGGACCATCATCATCCACACATTCGTAGGGCTGCCAGGGTTCCGTGAGAGGGGGAAGGGGGGAGTGTGAATTGAAATGTGTATTTTTACATGTGTTTTGTGTTCTATGCTCTCTCTATGGGCGCTCCAGTCGATTGGATCTCTCTCGAAATCAAATCAAAACTCGTCGGACTGTCGACTGTTGACTGTCGCTGTGGTCTCTTTTTATGGCCTTTTACAAATATCCCCCCAAAAAAAAAAAACACACACAAAAAGAGAGAAGAACTTGTTCTTGTTTTTCCCCCGCAATGCTGTTTGTTGTTCTCGTTATTATTATTATTCGTCTATTCCCATTTCCATGGGTCGAGCGACGGCGCGCTTTGAATAATGATGATAAGACATCAGAAAGAGACAAGAGGGGCGCTCTCCTTCGATCCATCCATACAGCCAGCAATCCATCCGTCAGTCCATCCATTCGGCGGGTCAGTATATTCTTTTCTCTCACTCTTTGATTATTGATTTATCGTTCGGGGGCTACTCTGTGTGTCGCGCACAGGTAAACGAAAAGAAATCGTCACGGATACGCAAAACGATCCACAAAATGTATCTCGAGGTTCGGTTCTCAAGCGGCAGATACATTTTGAAGCGCACGCTTCCACATTTCTGATTCGTCGACGACAAACGTTTCAACAACAACAAAGGAAAAACATTCTTGATCTCGAACGTTCTCATAATTTGTTTGTGCCCCTCTGTCCAGACCCCTGCCACTGCCCCAAACCACTTCTTGAAGAACCCACAACGGACTTGGAAGACCGCGACGACGACGACGACGACGACCGACTGTGAGAAAGATTTTATTTCGTTCAAGTGGTTTTTGATTTAACACCAAAAACAAAACACAACAACAACAACAACACAGCGATGGGAAGAGTGGAAAATATTTTAATGATGCGTCGTCGTCGCCGTCAAAATGCAACTGAAAAACCAAACCAAAGACAGAAAAGAGGCGCAACCAGATACTCTAGGAAAACTTTGTGGAGAATTTCACTTAGAAATAATACCTTCTGCCTCATAGATTCAATAATAATCCAAGAAATATTCTTTGCAGGATCAATTGAAATCTTTTTTCTCTAAATAAACTTCCCCTTACGCTCGTAATACTCCTCTGCCATAAGAGTACAAAAAGAAAAGACCAAACAACAGAAGATTTCTAACTAGTTTTTGGTGGCCTTTCTCCAGCTTCTTCTTCATAGTCTTCTGCTGCTTCTACCACTCATCTCTCCGTTTGTTCTCAATTTTATTTGTGGTTTGATTTTCGTTAGAGACATTCATTCGATTTGATTAGCTCAGCTCTTTGGGAAAGCTCTCAGAAAAGAATCGTCTGCTGATCGCCTGTGACGCGATTATCCAATTGAGGTCGTACATGCCACATTTGTATGTATATTTCCACCCCATTAAGGGAAGTTCTACGCTGCTTAAAGAAGGGTTCACTCAAGGGACACTCGACAAGCTGCCACATGAATGGTCCTGTTTCTGGTTGCTGGCTACTGGTGCCTGGATGCGGTTTAACATCTGTCACGCGGCTGCTTCCTGGGACCGGGGACTTGAAAACCACATCCAATGGCTTACGAACACAAATATTGAGCAGCTTTTATGAGGCATTAAGCCATAATTGACATACATTTCTGACCATCGAACATGCTCTCTAGAGAGCAGCTAAAAATGGGGTATATATGTAGGAAACTATTTTAATTAATGGGAAGGAAACTCCTTGATTAATTGAATGATTTTCAATGTAGCATTCAATACTGTAAATTCTTTCTATCTCCCCGCAACAGGGTAACTCCTCTTCGACTCCTAGCAATCCCTCAAACCCAAAACTATTTTTATATACATCAATTTTTTTGCAAAATTTCGAGTGGTATTTATTTCATTATTAAAGTATGCAAAACCCTCTTTTACAGCTCTCTCAATCAAACTTCCCTCTCTCCCGATCCCGATTCCGATCCCTCTCTCTTTTCTTCTTTTGATATAAAGCCGACGTGCGGTACATCGACTCTCTTGCCCCGCGACCTACCTAATGTGACACTAATCATGTGACCTCGAGTGCCGATGGGCACATTTTTATGACCGCTTTGCACGCTGTTTACACACGACAACAATCAACGAATCGAAGCAGCGAGCAAAGTTTTTCCAACATTTTCTCAAGAACACAGAGAACCAGAACGACAGAAGGAAAACAAGAGAAAGAAAAGAAGACAGAAAATGCGATCCCATTCATAAAAGAAATGCCATTCGAATGCTTTCTTCTGGCTCTCTTTTGGGTCGTAGGAGGGGAGCTCGCTGTGGCACCTTTCGGCTGCTCTCCATCGCTCCCCTGTGTGCACACCTTTCTTTTGGGTTCGCTTAGGAAAATCAACAAACGAAGAATGGGAAAATGTGTTAAGAGGCATTAAAATAGAATAGAAAATGGGACTCACTCTGGCCCGTTGGATTGTGTAGGTTTTCACGTGCTACCTACACAGCGACACAGCCAGAGGCAAGCGCACACACAGAGAGCGAGATCGCGCCGAGGGGCAGCCAAGAGAGAGCCAGAGCCCACCGTTTCGTGTAGCAGGAACGCGTGTCAGGGGCAAAAAGCAATTAGCAGCAGTGAGTGGGAGCGAGAAAGGGCACTCTGCGCAGGCGCAACCTTTTGTGTCGTGTATCTCAGGGGTTGTATCTACGATCTGCTGCTGCTGTTGCTGCTCTGTTCTGTTTACTGCTGCCCCTGTTGACGCTGATGAGCCGCAAACGATGCAGGAAGCTCCTCTCTGCTCCTTCAATCGATTGACAGGCGGCATTTAGGGGATAATTTCGGGGCATATTGCAGGATCCCATCCGAGCCGAGTCGAGTGGTGTGTAGGCAGTAGGAGCAGCAGGAGTCGCCGCTCCACCACGATCACCTTTACTGTTTTCTGTTGTCTGCCGCTACAACATCTGCCTGTTTGCCTCATCATCATCATCATCATCATCATCATCATCATCGTCGTCGTTGTTGTCCTTTCAGGACATGTGCGTTTTTAGTTATTGAAATTTTTACTTGTTTTGTCCTGTTCTTTGGCTTTAGCTCTCGATCTGCAGCTCTTTGGCTCTCCTCTCTCTCTCTCTCTCTCTGTACTGCATTGTGCATTGAGTATTTAATTGCAGATAATATCGACAGCAAAAACAAGAAACAGAAGGCAGACACAGGAGGCCAACGCCGGAATCAACAGCTGAAGTCCCCGGAAATGCATCTGTGACCCAAAGGGAGGGACTACTCTCTATCCCCCCCTCTGTCTCTCCTGTCCACTGCTCTTCCCTTGACATTTTCTGTGTGGAGCACGTGTCAATAATTGGTCCTGAGGAGCCACAGAGCTCCTTTTGTGGTTTCAGCTGTCTTGCCGTATGTGTGTGTGTGGGGGGGGGGAAATGCAGCAGAACAGAGCCCTCAAGGCTGGACTGAAGGGAAGGTGTACGTTGGACAATTCTTCTTTATTCTGTTTGAAGCACTTTATTGTTCTTTCGAGTGAACATTGTACTATTTGGTGTTGTAGATTTAGGCGTTATCAGCGTACATTTTGGTGCCATTACTCTAACTTTTGTGTAAGTTTAAGTTGTCTTGTAGCTAATTAATCGAACTTCTGAACAAATATCAAACTATAAATCTTTAGTTCCATCATCGTAGACTGCCAGCAAATTTCCTTCTTCACTAATCACTTTAGCCACAGAAAATGAGGCATTTCAAGGGAAAACCCGTTTCCCTAAGCTTCCTTAATGCTTCCAGCCCATTAGAGGCTTCTTCTGCATACCATTGATATCTCTTTGGCCCGCCCAAAGCCATCATCTAATTGCACACTTGAGATCACAGTTACTTCGAGTGAGATCACACACACACACAGAGCATTTGGCAAGATCTGCAGCCGCAGAAACTGCCTCAAACGAATGCAAATCAGTTGCGCACTTGGTCAACAGTTAACTCATCATCGCCATCGCCATTGCCATCGCCATCGCCCCAAAACCTCATCGTCGCTCTCTTACTCTCTTGCCCGGCAAAAGCTAACGGCAAAGCCAAAGCCACGCAGAAGCTGCGGTGGCAGGGGGAGTCAGGGAGTCAGAGCAACATCATAAAAGAAAAAGAGAAGCTAATGTAATTGTGTTTGTAAATGCCATCAAGTTGGCAACACTTGCTGTGCCAACAACAACAACAACAAAAGCTACACCAACAAATGAAATATGTTTGCTTGCCTCAGCGTCAGAGTCAGAGCCAGAGCCAGAGCCAGCCCCATCTCCGCCATCCACTCATCCAGTATTCCACCTCAACGCTTGCAAATGAAGTTCACGAGATGGTCAAGACGATAATGTTGGCGAGCGCATTTGCCAAGTCATGACGACGACTGCGACGATGCTGCTGCTGCTGCCGCTGCTGCTGCTGCTCTGTCCTGACACCGTAGCAACATCCAACAACATCAGCCACAGCCGAACGAGTTTCAGTTGTTTTTGTTGTCGTTGTACATTTTGTCGCCATCGCTGTGTGCCCTCAAAAAAAGAGAGAAATAGTTGGAAATCAAATCAACATAAGCACAGCCACAGGGCAGCAATGCCAAACAAGTAAAATAGTTACAACAACAATATCCGACACCACAAAAGTTACACCAATAAAGCGGCAACAACTGCAAGAGTGGATTAAGATCATGAGCAACACCAACAGCTACAAATGTTACACCAACAACCCCAAACTCTTCTATCTTTTGGCAACAATAGTTGCAGCAGCTTCTACAGCAACTAAACCGTAAATCAAAGACTAAAAAAACAACAACAAATAACATATAAACATATGGACAAGCCAAAGCTACACCAACATACAAAAACGAGCAACTTAAATCTATGTAAAACTCAATTGAAGGTGATCTTTTCCCTCCTGCCATCAGCGTTGTCGCTCCACATTTTTGCTCTGGTTTTTTGTTGCCTTTTGTTTGATTTAGTTTATGCCCAGGCCCGGGCCACACCTCCCCTTTCCACACCCTATTCACTACACCAAGCAGTGCATCACACCCTTCCTTTCCCCCTACACCCTTCCGACTGTCTGGTGGCATGCAAGGCAAACCATTGGCGTTCCAAAAGCTGACTCCGGACTGCAGCTCCAATGCCCATTCACCAACACTCGTACTCGTACTCTACTCACACTCATACACTCACTCCTCACTCACTCATCCACAAATGAATCTCTGGGCTCCGAGTCGATGCGATGCGGTGCGATGCGACCCTCCCTACCGACCCTCTCCATCGCACCATCGCCTCGTGGTCGTCGTCGTCACAGTCGTCGTCGTCATCGTCATACAAATATTTAGTAGAGTATGAAGTAGTTCGGGGTTCGGGCGGCACATGAAATGAGTTGACCTCGCTTGACCTCGTTTCAGTTTCTTTTTTGCCGCTGCCTCTGCCTCTACCACTACTTCTCCGCCAGCACCTCATCCTCCCTCTACCGCTCTGTACTCTCTTTTTTTTCTGCTCTTTGTAGCATTTATTTTATTTGTGCAAACGTTTTTAATGAAATTTCATTTCATTTCGCCCCCGTGTCCCACAGTCTGTCTCACAGTCGCTCGCTCGCTCGCCCATTGTCTTCCATTTTCTCTTGGATTTCAATTAGAAATCTTCATAATCGTATCGTGTTTTGTGTGTCTTTGCATTTGTATCTGTGTAACTGTCTGCTCGTTATCTCTCTCTCTCTCTCTCCCTCATTGCGACTCAATCTTTTTGGCGAGTGTAGGCTACATTCTGCTGCTGCTGCTACTCCATGGATTTAATGCTGCTGCTTCCGTGGATTGTTGGTGGCTGCTGCCTCTGTTGATGATTACTTTCACCGGACAGCAAGACACCGCCGCCGCGTACAACAAACACAGTTATGGCAGCAGCAGCAGCAGCAGCAGCAGAAACAACAGTTACAGCAACAGGAACAACAACAACAACAACCATGACAAGAAACATAACAAACAAAAAATATAAAATAAAAACAAAAAAGCGTAGCAAAGTTTGGATATTGTTTTGTGTTGAAAATACACTTTTGAGAGGGTAATGCAATTATTTTGAAAACATAAACACAGACCAACCAACCGAGGGGCGCTGCTGGAAGAGGCGCAACCCAATTCTACCTTCCTTAAACTGTTTCCAGGCCTCTGTTTCCTCATCCATCATTGAATAATTATTAAAATTATTAAAACATTATTACATAATTCTTTTCTCATCATCTCATGGCTAGAGTGTTTCCATGTTCGACTTTACCTTCTAGCTAGCCTTCTCCTTCCTGTTGTTTATGTTGTTTGTTGGAATATGAAATATGTTTTTGAAGCATAATGAGGCCAACTGTGTGGTTGCCTCTCTGTTGCTGCTGCTGTTGTTGTTGTGCCTCTCTGCCATGCAATGAAATCAGGTTGCTGCTGCTGCTGCTGCTGCTGCCACTGTTGGACGTTTGCCTCGGGCATTGTCCGAACAATGCAACAAAAACCATCGCTCTCGAGTCTCTCAAATCTCGAATCAAAATGAAACATTTGCTAATAATTAGCAGAGCATTTACACCCCAAAAATGCATTCAACTGAAACAAGAGCCATGAACATGGACACAACGATGCCTAAATGCCCAACGGCTAGTTATGGGGCGATAATCCCAATCGATAAATCAGCAACATAGTTGTATTTTGATATTTCATCATCTAACGGGCAGTGGGTAGGGGTATTACCATTCCCTAACTTTACTTTCTATTTCTCTGGGCACGCATTTCTGGTCTTTCGGTTGTCATGCATCTCATACCCCCTCTCTTCATGCCACACATTTGAATCATCATCCCAAAAAGACGGTCGCGTCGCTTGTTTTTGGAGTTCACGTTTGCTTTTTGCTTCATAAAACGAACATTTCATTGTACCCCCACGCCACAGCCACAGTTACAGCCACGCCACGAAGCGACAAGCGGAAATGGTAAAAAACATTACCTACACTTACTGAATGAAGAAGAGGCAGCCACTCACTCCAGCGGCAGCGGTGGGGGGGGGGGACATATTGGGGGCAGACACGGAATGGGAAATGAGCAGCAGTAGTGTCAGCAACGGCACCAGCAGCAGAAGCAGAAAAAAACAGTTGGTTATGAAACCGAAGCATCACTCAAAGAGCATACCGCCGCCGAAAGCCCAAAGCCGCCCGCGCAATCGCCACACAGAGCCAGAGCCAGAGACAGAGAAAGAAAGAAAGGAGAGTGTGAGAAAAAAGGCGGGGGGCGGACAAGGTAGGGCCAGCAACTTTCCAATGAACAATGCACAGAGGCAAATGTAGATACAAAAAAATCAAACAAATATTTTTATTAGCAATCGTAGGGAAATTTATAACAATAATACAATAAACTTTCAGATACAGTCAGAAATTGCATGTATGAAAACCACGAACCAGGTCGATGCCTCCCTGTGGCGACACTGGACACGGCATTGACCCCCAAATGAGTCGTAGAACCGTTCAAAATCCAGAAATTTGGGAGGTATGGTAGTTGTTCTTGTTCTAGCGATCAATCAGCCTAAGACACACAGACGCACACACACACACGCACACTCCTCTAAAGGGAACGGTAGACTGAGAGAGTTCATTGCATTTCAAGTGACGTCGCAACGTTGCAGGTGGAAATGCAAGTAGCAACTTCAACAAGAGCAACAATGGCAATCTGGCAGGACTATCCACACGTAGGGTGGTATGCACTTCCTCTTCCTGCCCCCTGTTCGGGGTACCTTTTTGTTTGCAATCGTTGCATGTGCGAGCCATAGATTGACGCTGAAGAGGGGCCGGCCAGCCACGAGGAACCTTCGCAACCAAAAAGGCCACAACACAATTTTCTCACCCATCGGGGAATAGAAAGAGGAAGTGGGGTTGTGGACACCCGCTAGAACAACAAGCAAAATGGCAGCTCATTGAGTTTTGACTTCCCTCGACACGGGTAAAAAGCCAAAGCAAAAAGTGTTAGCGTTGGCCACAGGAGAACCACCAGCAGGGATACAAAATCATTGATCGGAAGTGAGAGAAATGGGAATGTACTTTGGAGTACTTTGGGGTGATTTTCCCAAAGATTTCTCTTCTTAAAACTCTAAAACGATAATGAAAAGCGTTCCAAACATGATCTACTGGCATTTCCTATATTTTTCCGGGTGCAAACGTGACATTGACGTTGACTAGGGATTGAAGCGGCCACAAAATCGCACACTCATAACCAACCGATTGATGCCACAAGGCAAGGGGCAGCACTCCTATGGACACCAGAGAAAATCTGCATGTGGCAGAATAGGACACACACACACACACGGGAAGGAAAAAAAACCTAGACAGGGAATCGAAAAGCAGCCCATAGGGAGTGCATTTTTCGGCCTGGTCAGGTGTGGCAACCTCACCCCCGTAAAACCCGCATCCCGAGAACCGAGATCTGAGATCCGAGACCCAGAGTACAGTTTACATCAGAGCCATCGGAGCCATCGAGAGACATCAGAGAGGATGGGACTGGAGATTGGGAGTACGAGTTCGAGCAGAGGATAGACTGACTTTGGGACCAGAAGCAGAAAATCATAAAACGAAAAACGAGTTACAAAACTGCTGGAAATTCCGCCAGAGAATCGACCAGAGAACAGCCAGGCGACAGCGACAGGGACAGCGACAAAGAGGGATACACAGGTGGCAAGAGGTAGGAGAGGAGGTATGTGGAAGGAGGTAGAAGCCAGCGAATGGGTGAACCAACGTTTGCGGAATGCAAAACTAAAAATAGGAAGCTAATGCGCGGAGGCAAGAGGCTCTATTTATGCCTCTCTGCTGCAGTTGCTGCTGCTGCTGCTGCTGCCCCATGGATGTGTGTGCAGGAGGGCAGGAGCTGGCTGAAAGCGGAGTTGAAGCTCCAAGGTGAGTTCTGTCCTCCTCCTGCTGCTGCTGCTCGTCCACCTTTATGGTAGTCCGCTCTCTAATGTCTGGAACCCATCGTCATTGCCATTATATCGTTAGACATGGCAGTCACCCCAGACCCCACTCTCCACTCTCCACTCTCCTTGCTTGGCTTTGGTCTTACTCCCCTTTTGATTTTCCTTTTGATTGCAAAGTTTACATGGCACCAAAGTGCATTTTCAATAAAAGGAAATATCAAAACTTCCCAACGTCAAGCACAAACTCTCACATAAGCACAAATGTATGTGTGTGTGTGTGTGTGTGTGTATGTATCCTTTTGCCCCCTTCCAAGATGCAAGTATATTCTATATATATTTATCATGCCATTAGTTTTTGCACTTGTTTTTGCCTTTTGGGACATGGTGCGGGGAAAGAAAAACCTTGTGGAAATTTTGCTATGACCTCGCGCCATGAAAAGTTGTGTCGCCCAACGAAAACTTGTCTTTTGCCTCATATCCCTTCTGTCCCCTGCCTCCTGCCTCTCCTGGTGGCGACCTTCCTTCTCATATTATACTCATCTTCCGACTCTCTCGTGCGCATGAAAGGTGAAACTTGAAGGTAACTTTACTCTGGGGAATACCCTTTTGAGGTGGCCCCTTGGAGGGAGAGATTAGACTCTATTTGCTTTGGGATTTGATGGTGAAACAAGTTTTGCCTGTGGGGAGAAGGGAATTTGTTGATCTTTTGGGGCAAATTTGGAACGTTTAGGAGGGGTTTCTTTTTCTCCAACTATCCCCTTTAACCAGTGTCCACTGTAGCGCTTCGCTTTGTGTTTTTCTTCAATTCAAAATTCATTTCTTTCTGCCGGACATCCGGAGTAGTACTTCAACAAGTTCTGGACTTCTCACTGCTCTTCTTCGGGTCTTGCCTCCGCTTCTTGCGGTCTCTGCTTTGTCCTGCTGTTCGTCTCGACTCCGTCTCTTGCTTTGGCCACGCCTCGGCCTCGGTGTATTCATCAAAAATTCACTTTAACTTCATTATCATCGTTATTGTTTTATTTATTCCACCTTCTGTTTCGCCTCAAGACACTTGATCGCTCAATTGATTTTCGTCTTCTTTCTGCTGCTGCTGCGCCTCTGCTCTGCCACTGCCACTGCCTTCGTCTTCCCAGTCACTCAGTCGCTGATGCACTCCGCAATCCACAGTCGTTGCTGCAGTCACCGTCACCGCTGGCAGCGCTGTTTTAGCCTCTCTTTCTGCGTGTGTGTGACTTGGCCTCTGTCTTCTCCCCCTCCGCAGCACTCGACTGACCATCAGTGCTCACCCCCTGCGACTGACTCTACTGACCAGCGCTTATTTCCCCCGCCCCATCCTCCTGCAGCGCTGTG